AAAAAAAATATTTGAATTTAAGATTTAACAGTGTTAAATCTTGCACCTGGTGATAATATTATTATTAAAAAAAATAACAGTGTTAAATCTTGCAGTTATCATAATAGTTGTGGTTGATAATCATTTACTAGCACTTACAAATACTGACCTGGTACTCCAACTGATCAAATGTGGTGACCCTTGGGGAAACAGGGTCAGGGTCAAAACTTCAGGGTCAGTGTGTTTGGGTCACTTTTTTAATGGGTTCACCAGGGTGAACACAACCACGAGCTAGTGTGTGGGCTTGTTGTGTCTGTTTTAATGTTTCATGTGTGTGTGTGTGTGACCATATGACAGTGAATGTGCTGCTGTGTTGAAGCCATGTGTCCATGTTTAACTTCGAGGTTGGTTTCTAGCTGTGCATGTGAGTTCAACTATGCCCATCGTTATGTGACCTTATGTTCCTCTCTCTGTTTGTGTGTGTGCGCCAGTGAGTGTGTGTGAGTGTGAGGGCGCGCGTTAAGCCCTGTCAGTTTCGGTCTGGTAGACGGCATAATTAGTCTTTTTTTTTTTTTTACTCTTGTCTCCTTCTTTGCTGCTTGTCTCTCTTTCTCCGTCGTGTGGTTTTCCTCCCCCCTCGCTTCTGGCCTCTCTCCCCTCTCCTTCCCCTTCATCTCTCCCTCCTACACTATCACCTCGGTTCCTCTGAGTGATGAATTCTAAATCATTCTCTCGTTCCTCTTGCAGTGATGAACGAGGGGAAATATCTCTTTTTCTGTGTGTGTTTTATCTTGCTTTCCATCTCTGTCCCCGTTTTGCATTGTGTTCACACCCACTCTGCACTGCAGTGATTCAGTTTCCAGTAATGATGATACATCATTTAGGCTGAATGTGTTATAAAAGTTATAAAAGATGTAATGCCCCCACGTGTTGTAGCACCGTGTCTTCTGTGGTCTGTAAACGTCACACATTTTGGAGAAGATGATTCAGCAGACCCACTGTTGACCTCGTATTGAGTTTGAAATCTAGAAGTAGAACTAAAACAAAATTTAAAAATAACCATTAAAGACTGAACTCAGAGACACTACTGTCTTAGAAAGTGCATCTTTGAATTTTTCATTACATATCAAAAGTTGCTTTCCATTCCCACAATTACAGTTTGCACAATTTATAAAATGATTTTTCAACAATAGTCTCAGTCTCTATTGCTACCACCACTAAATGGTCCAGTGTTTTAGTAAAAGCTGTAATACATCAATGCACTGAGTACATTTCAACCTATTTGTCTAATTTGCAGCTTGGGGACTGTAATATTTGAATACAGTGACCGTGGTTTTAGTCTATTTGGAAGAAATAATTAGTTTGTTTTTTTAGCATTAATACTGACTGGGAGCCTTTGGTTTGTATGTTTATCTGTGGGAGATGTTGGCCTCCATTGGGTAAGACATTTTCTTTTCTCGTTTTCCTTTTCGTGGTTATAATTTTAAGAAGGAACATAATAACACATAAATTAAAACCATAACAAAGTTGTATTTAGGTTTTAACTTGGATATAAAATGTCACATTAACCTTCCCAGAAACAAGAATCAATGACACTATTTTCATAGTGAAACACAATGTGTTTTTTTTTTTATTGTCTAGTTTACATTCCAGTTGTATAGATCTCACAGAGCTTTAAGTCAATTGGCTTTAAATTTAGAGATGTTCTTCACATCCTATACGCACCCAACAAAGCCCTATACATATCTCACGTTCGTACAAACCATAATCCATGAACCACCGTTTGACATATGATTAATTTTGCTCTCAGCAGGAGCGCTCCTGTGGCCACGCTAGAGTAATTCCATGACAGCTTTTAATGAAAAGGACATACTTCAGATAGATGTTGTGTTATGTGAAGCTCTTTGTGTTCTCTGTCCTCAAGTGACCCACAATTTTTCTGGGACATAAATTCCTCCCCCCTTAACTTTCATCATAAAATTTAATTCCTGTTCGGAGCCACATGGATTTTCCCTTCCTGAGTGGTGCCAAGATAGCAGTCGCAGTTCAATAGGATGTTTTTTTTTGTTGTTTTTTTTTTGCTGTGCTACGCACAACCTTTTTTTCCTGCAGTGTCTTATACGTAGGAAAAAAAACCCCAGAAAGATCTGCCAGCAATGTTTGCTAGGCACTGGATTCTTTGTTGGCAAAAATGAAACAAACAAAAAGCGTGTGTTATAAATGTATATGGTTGTTTTTATTCACTCCGGAGCACATTGGTGCCGGAAGTGGGTTGGGGTGGGTTGAGCCTATACAGCATGTACTGTATATTGGCTACTTATCTCCAAGGTTGTGTTCCCACTTCCTGGTTTCTCAACGTCTCTGCTGTGATTGGTTGTGAAGGGACAAAGACATCAGCCCCTGATTGCAAATCAGGCTGCCATTGGTCATTATGTTATCACCGTGATAGTCTTGGAATTGTCTGATTAAATTAAGGTTGGGCAGAACACACACAGATATACACACATACACACACTCTCAAGATACGCTGAAGGAGAAACAAAACACAGATTCTGTTTGGTCAGTACGTTTCAAAAGCACATCGTGGGACTGATCTGCTGTCCACGCCATAGTAAATAACAAGAATTTCACAGGAAACTGAATACAGATTCTGTTTGGTCAGTACGGTTCAAAAGCACGTCGTGGGACTGATCTGCTGTCCACGCCGTAGTAAATAACAAGAATTTAAACTTTAAACTTCACAGGAAACTGAGCGTCGTGGGACTGATCTGCTGTCCACGCTGCAGTAAATAACAAGAACTTCACAGGAAACTGAATATTTTGACAGATTTTTTTCATTGAATATCACTGTGTCCTTTTCTGCGTTCATGTTCCACCCACCATAAACACGTAACATATATTCACCTATGTGTGGTTACACTTACACTTGCGTTCAGAAGCACTTAAATTTTGAATGAATCATTTTTTATTGTGATGCAACTCTGCTAGACATTAATGGCCCATTATGCTGCACATTAAATGTATGTGCTGGGAACAGCTGGGAGCAGTCCTGCCTGTAGGCTGTAAGTACCCAAAGAGTACTGACAGCCCACGAGCAGGACTGCTCCCTCTCTATAGGGGTGAACAGGTAATTAATTCATTACAATAAGTGAAAACACAAACGCCCACCAGACATTAATAATTATTTTCCTAAGTGTGAGTGCTAACATTATAATGACTCTAAGCCTGGTTTGAACTCTGGCCTACATTTGTAGATTGTCCAAGGTGGGACCATGTTATTGGTATTAGGATGTACTTGAAGAAAAGGCAGATGAGTATAAAATATACTGTACTACCAGTAACTACTGGAAGGAGAAGACACTGGTTCAGTGATTGATTGGGGAATAAGTTCCTTATTCTAACAGTCTTTGTACTTCTACTAAGAAGGTTATTTTTCCTTATAAAAGTTTGTTTTTCAGTTCATCTGAATTACATGTTGTTTACATTTTTGTACACGGCTCGTAAAAGCACCTTATGTGCAGCAAATTCAAAATAGATTAGACGATGACACGTTGCAGTGTTACATGATTTATTATGTGACCCTCAACAGCCCAATATAAAAGTCAGTTTCTACCGTGTTGTACTGTCCTTCGCCATGATGATGCTAAATCTCCAGCATTTTACTCAAGGTGTTTCTGCACCATAAGCTGACGCTGCAGCCCGGCCGTGGCAAAAGTGAAGAGTTTCTCGGTTGTGGGTCGATGGAGCATCAGAAACAAACGCTCTGGCCAGCCTTCACTTCTGTGCTGGAGTCACCTAGCAGTGGCTGCACGGTTGAAGTGAAAGCACCATTACGATGAGACAAAGAAGATAGAGATCCTGATCTACACACCCTAAAGACCAACAGGATCAATTACATTTGCATTTTACTATTAAGGCATTTAGCAGGTGTTGTAACCCTGTGAGATTTAAGACTAGAAGAGGAGGAGCAGAGTTAGCTCTTCTCCTAATTAATCAGTATATAAAGCCTCTGAAAAGGAGGTGAAAGGAAAGGAACGAAAACAAACACAACACCCTTGTTTTATCGTCTGCGTTCACTCACTTGTTATATCACCTAATTAGTATGAACCCATCCGCATCACAACTGTGAATACAGTTTCTGATTGTTTCAGGTTAGCATTTTCTGACCTTTTTTGTAGTGTGTTTGTACAATGTTACAATTACAGTAACTTACTGTCAGTCCAGTTGACAGCCAAAGCTGAATGGGCTAGACCGTGTTGAAAGAAATTAAAAAATAGAGGAAATCAGTGCAGCAGTGAAAACCTAAAGCATATACAGTGATGGTTTGAGATATGTGCTGCGCAGTACATAATGGAGCTAATGAGGCCACAGAGAATACACGCGAAGGTGAATGAAGAGGAGAAGTGGGAGGAGCAGTCAGGTCATTATGAAAATGGAACAGGCAGCAGCCATGGTACGAGTCAGACATTAAACATTAACGTGCACAAACAGCTGAGCTGAATGAAAGAATGAATGAAAGAATGGATGAACTTCAGGATGAATGAACAGAGCAGTGCTGACTAGGGCTAACCTACTTAGCTTCATTATCACTGTGACTCGTGCGTTATCCCTGGTATGATAAAAAGCTGTGATATACTTGAAGGAAGTACTTTACATGCACTTCTGAACACAGAGCCCTCTCCAAGGTCTCCAAGCAGACAGCTAATATTGGCCTGGACCGGCAGGTTAGCTCTGTTAATTATCTTTATTAAAAAGGCAATATAGTTGCTCTAGACACATGTAAGGGTGTTGAACACAGAGCTGCAGCGTGTGCGCTTTTAGTCGCTTCCTGTGTCTTTATAAGAAGTATTCTACTGAGTCTCCGACCCTGTCGTCATATTGTGCTGCTGTGCTCTGCGTGTTTAACCTACATAATCAGTTAACTTCCAGTTTTTTAATTTCCCTTAACGTAAAGTTTTTGTTATGTAATGTATGTTTTTCCACATTTTAACACCAAATCCCCTTTGTTTTCTATCCCACAGGTTTCATTTACACATGTGGCGGCACGCTAAAAGGCAGAAATGGCAGTATTGAGTCGCCAGGTTTTCCCTATGGCTACCCCAACGGAGCAAACTGCACTTGGGTGATTGTCGGAGAGGAAGGAAGTAGAATCCAGCTCATCTTCCTGTCATTTGCCATAGAGGAAGAGTACGACTTCCTGTCCTTGTACGATGGGCATCCTCACCCGGCGAACTTCAGGACCAGGTACATTCATTCATTCATTTAGGTTATTTCAACAGAGTCCTGATTGTTGCTATGCAACAAACTATTTGAACTGAATTTATTAATTTTCTTTTAGTATTGTATATTATAGAACAGCAGTACAGTGCAACAAAATTTGATTAGCAGTTCTATCACATACGTAGAATCTATAGAAGCAAATTTTAGGTAACTAAACTCTAACTAAATACTAAATAATAATAGAAACATTTAAAAAAATAGAAGAACTGATTACAAACATGGCCGAGGTCAGTCTGTTCCTCCTCACACAAAACCCTTTTTTTTGTGCCAGGTAACCGTGAAGACCGTCCAGAATTAGTGCAGACTTTTGACTGAAAATCAGAAACATTTTCCTGGTGAATAATGTCCTGTCCTTTAGGGGGCGAGTATTTTCTCCTGTAAAGTCTTTTTCTGTTCTGTTTACAAATCATTTTGCTATCATCACCTAAAATGATTTCTCCTTTCTTAACATTCTAAGTTGGAAAGTTTCTGCGAAAATTGTGCTGGATCTACATATTTAACATACAGCAGGTGTCTTAAGAGTCAATAACGTTTGGCAAAGGTCAGATGAGGATTTTCCAGACATGTGCAAGGCAACAGCTGACAGACGGTTATGAGGAGGAAATCTGTTTTGGTTCAATTGAGGCAAAAAGGATTTGGGTCATAGAGAAATGAAATGAGTCCCCTCGACGCTCGCCCAGTTTGCTGAAAAGCAATTCTCTCTCCGTGGGGAATGAACTACGTTCCTTTGGTTCAATGGGCATAATTTCTAATCATCCAGCTGCAGTAATCAACCTTTCTCTGACAATATGGTGGCTCTAAGTGCTCAAAATGCCATACAAAGTTAATTAAACAAGGGAGTATGAAAAGGGAGCAGAACACAAGTGGGTGGCTCTTGTGTTGGACACTTGGAGAAATATGTTTTTGGTTCTGATTACCATGGGGTGAAAAGGTGGGCTAAACACCAAGACTGTGGGGTGTATTTAAATTAAGTCGTTTTTTGTTTTGTTTTTTTGCACTGGTCACCTAATGTTTTAGCCAAAGGGAGGCTGCAGAGTATATTTATTTTTAATTCATTAAAAATGCAACGTCAGGATTGTACTTTTAAGACAAGGGCTTCAACAAATTTGCACTTAATTGTCAGGAAAATGTATTTTAACAGTCAACAATTGAACGTTTAAACAACCTTAAATAAATACAGCACCAACATGTGGTCATATTTGACATGGAAATAATTAACAAATTTTACCTTTTTATTTTTTTGTTATTATAAGATTGATATTTGAATCAGTCTTGGTGATTATTTCTGAAAGACTGACAGACAGGAAGATCGTCTTTTATCACTTCATCTGCTTTGTTCAGACTCAGTGTGAGTTTGCCCTTTGTGTGTTGTTCTATTTCTCTGTGAGACGCTAATGTGTGATTTGAGTTGTGTCCTTTCACTCACAAGTGTTTGTCACAGACACTGTGAAGACTGCTAAAATGTGTGTGTGGGGATTCTTAACAACAGCGCACCATCTCATACAAGATGAGTGATTTGACCAACGGTGTTGATACGCAATAATGGAATTTTTCCATTAAAGGCTGAGTAATGGCCAAGGTTCTATTATATTAGATTATGTGATGTAGTTATTAGCAAAACAGTAATTAGTCTAGTGCAGAGTGAAGCCTGCTACTACAGTCTCAAACTAAAATTGTGACATTTGGGGTCATTTAATGGATGTGAAATTCTTAGCGAAGAAAGAAAAATAATTTGCAGCACCGTTGACATCCTGAGAACAAACGGCTCCAGATAGAATATTTATGAAAGAGTAAAACGATGGCTTCTGAGACAATAGATTATGATTGTGTGGTTGATGCTTACATTTAAGTATACTGTACTTGCAAACAGAAGAGGAAATCTTGGTTGTGAATACTTGTATTTATTAGGAACTAATGTGTTAAAAATAATATCATATGAATGTTGTTATAAAATGCAGCGTGGCCCCTAACAAAAGCCCACTGAAAGATATGTAAAGTATGTCATGGGTTTCATACCTACAGACTGGATCTTTAACTCAACATCACTTTAAGTACAGCATTCCTTCAATACCAACTCAAATATCAAACCTTTCTATGCAAAATAGCAAATAAACAGAGCTGCAGTGTAAGTCTTGTGAAATTAATTAATGCACTTGATTGATGGAACTTGGCTCTTTTTACTGCAGTGCTTTTGTTCCGTCTTAAAGCACTCATGTAGCTAACAGAGGAACATCTGAGAGCCAGCAGGCATGCTCGGAGCTGTTTTCATTATTAATAAAGTGTAGCTTTAAAAAGCACCTTTGACTCTGCCACAGCAGCCAGGGCAGACCTACTGCTATGTGATTAGCATGGGTCTGACTGTGTCTCCTGTGGTCGTGGGCCTGTGCTCCTTTTGAATAGCTCTTCTAACACCATTATGTAAAAGTGAATTAACCTTAAAAAAAATTTCACTTCCACATTAACAATGTGTGGGTTGTGTCTCTGCAATGGTGATGGAAGAAGTGAATTAGCCAAAGTAAATCTAACGTTGTTAAGCTGATTAAGTGACATAGGACACAGCAGCCACAAGCTGGAGTTTAAGAGAGCAGAAAAAGGGCCCTCCTTTGGTTTATTTTGCAGTTCAAGTTGAGTATAATGCTCCTGTTACCCCACCATTATAATGTCAGTACTTTAATGCTAGTGGCCCTTTGGGAAAGTGTTGATTAGGGGTTGAATCACTCTCTGGATACTTGGTGGAATTGGGCTGGGTTATCCCTGTCACTGTGAATGTCCTTGTCTTCCATTCTTGGGACTTGTTATAACCTCTGGATTATAAAGGCCACCGTAATAAACTAACAGTGTTAAATCAGTGATAATAAACCCAGGGTTCGTCACCACATGACACTGTCTCACTGTGATAGGCTCATTTGGTACAAACTAGTACAGAACAGTGCCGTAGTTAAGAGTGGCTTTAGTCTAGTATTCAGGACATTAACCCAGTGGTGTTTTTATACACAGCCCTCTGACCCCAGAATGGATCCCATCCTGAGGTGTGTCCTGTCCTGCAGCCACTTGGGCTTAAAGGCTATAAGAAATCCAGGTCAAAGTAAAAGAGTAAAAAGTTCTACCTTGATGCTGCAACTGCACATAATTCATTCTGCTATACTTTTTTTTTATTTGGAGAAAAAGTCCTGTGGTTCATACACCGCAAAACCCCAGGACATGTAACACATTTGCAGGTGTACACGCAGGTGCATAAAGTAGGGTGCCTTATCAGAGTTATTTTACATCTTGGTAAAAACATAAAGTTAACTTTTGCAGAACAAAGGACACAATTATCTAGGCTTACTATGTATTGAGCTGTTCATGATTTTTTTTTTTAAGTAGCTGTTGCATTGATTACTTACCTCATCTGGTTGATTTTACGTTGAAACATATTCCCACTCATCATTGTCTTCGCCCTATATATTTATATACATATATATTTAAAGCAGAGACAAAATTGTTGAGACGTTTGTTCTTATTGTCATCAAAATTGGGCTGCTAGATATTTCCCTTTTCCCTGCTATGCTGATTCTGATGCCCACTTACCTCTGACTTGTCACACCCACTGTGAAAGATAACCAATCAGATCGTACGCTCTCTGCCCCACTCTCAGCTTCTGCCCCTTGGTGATTGCTTGGCTGGACCAATAGCTCTCTACCTGTCCCTGACTTGACCCACTTATCTGTAATCTTCTATCTGCTACACATTTTACTCCTGGATACTTTATTTGTATTTTTATTGATGTATTTAATCCCCCCTCCCCACACCCCCACCCTCATCAAGGCAAATAAACAGTGTGTTTACTTGCACAAGACACAGACGTACACACAAAATCATCCAGAAATACAGGCACAGCGGGGAAACAGGCAGAATCACAAAGGCTGCATGTGTGTGATTGGTGTGAAAATGAAAAAACATGGTCTTTGATGTTGGCTACACTGTAGGAAAGTAGGAGAGGATATGCAATTGTGTGTGTGTGTGTTGTGCATGTGTGTGAACTGAGGTGTGTTTACCCCTGAGGTACAGGTATTTCATCTCTCCCTGCATCACTTCTGCCCTGTAGGGGGTTAGAGGTATGTCTGTGTGCGTCAGGAAGATCCAAATATCTTGGCTCAGTTCTGACAGATGGAAAGGAAAGACAATAACCGTTTTCCTCTTTTACAAGTCTTTATCCTATCACGATTCGACAGATTGGGCTTAGAACAGAATGTTGCTCACTGTTTCCAAACCTCTTTTCCAATATTGAAATAAATTAATTTGTCGGAGTAACTGAAATCGTTTGCCAAAGACCAAAAAACAAGAAACTTGGACATAGTGTACAGCAGGTCAAAAAGAAACATCAGGAAACTTGACAATAAACAATTCAAAACCTTAACCTTAACCTGAAGAGCATTTTCAGTGGCTTTTCTGACAGAATTGTGCAAACCTAGACTCTTTCACATGGTTATATATGCTTCATTAGTTTGTCCAAAACATATAATTAAAGCCTTAGAATAAATAGTCCAAATGAAATTAGATTTTTGAGGTTTACCAAATCTGCTAAGGCTTTCATACATTCCTCGTGTCAAAAATGCCTGAAATCAAATCACTGAAAGACGGCCCCAACAATAGACTGTTGAGCAGCTCAGGTCTTTTACAAGGCAGAAAAATGGCTACATTTTAACTTGCAAAACTGTATTGGCGAGTATCTTTAATTACCAATTCATTAAAAACACTGAAATTAAAGTGCTTGTGTGACCCAAAAGAGAAATCATTCTTTGTTTACCAGTAAAAATATAGGCACTCTGAGGAAACATTGAACGTTTTATTTGAAGTATTTTTTTTGCCTTCGATTGCTTTTTGTATATTGTTCCTTCCAAAACAGCATGAAAATATTACAGTAAAAAAGCCAGGAAATCGACTATATTGTAAACGATACAGTACCATATACTAATGGTCAA